ATAAATATATATATATATATATATATATATATATATATATTAAAGATGGTTGAGAATGAAATATCCCGTAACTGGTGTGAAGATCATAGTTAATATAGGAGAAAACTATACATCCAAATATCAATATAGGATATTTGAGAAAGATTTTGTTTTGAAATATTATGGATAATTTGATAATGATTATTTTATATTTAATTTATATTTCTGATTTTTAGGTTAATTTATTAAACCAATATACAAAATCATACATTAATGTATTTTTCCTTAAACAAATTAAGATTAATGTACTTTCCCAAACCGATATTGATGGTTTAATTTGGTAGATTTCGAAATAATATATATGGAAACTGGTATTTAATATTCTTAAATTTTTAGTAAGATCCAACTGAAAAATTCCGGGTTATTTTTTTTTTTTAAACCCGACCCAAGAAGCATTTGTACTTCTCTTTTACTATAGTAGGGATGTTAAAATTTACTTCAATAACTTGTTAAAATCAAGAAAGAACATGGGTATTTTGATATAACGGTGATTTATGTATTATCACTGGTATTATGTCTTGAACTTCTCAACTACAAATAAGCATTTCTAAATTTGGATCTTCAAAATCATATACTCTTTTCAAGTATACACGTGTGTTTATCATGCATAAAACATTTAATTTTATAAACAATTAATATCATTTCTTTGTTTATTATCCCTTTTTTTCTAGTACTTCTCTTTTATTTTTGTTTCGTACCATCATTAGAAAAAGGTATAGTTGCATCACCTAGTTTACGTCAAAAAAATATATGTTCCAAATTTCAATTACTTATATTTATAATCAATACAAAATATATAATTTAACATTACAGCTATAATAATCAATATTGGACACAACTATAGACACTGCATTTTTCTTACGTACTATTCAGACCTAATGAAGATGGTGTTTTCGCTTTCCGAAAGGACGGTTTTCTTTGTTTACAAGGATAACATCAAATCTGATAGAGAAAAATTTTCTACCTTTTCTTTATCTCTTATTTCAAGAAATGCAAATATAAAAGCGGATAATTTGGCACGCAAAGTTCGTACCGTTTTGTATTACATTAAGTATGTAAACAACTTTCCTCCTAATTGGCTCATTTGAGTCAATCTTATAATTTTTGTTGAAAATAAAATAATAATAATCAATGGTATTATCAATTTTCGTTAACAATGGTTCATTATAATTGATGCAAATCTTGATCCATTTACATCACTTCACAATATTGATACAAATATACGAATTTACATCATTTAAAAATGATAAAAGAAATTAAATCAATAATAACTGATGCTAACAAATAATATTACATCACTTTGCAAATATTAATCAATTATTTATAAATAATATAAACACCTAATATGATCACTATTATAACCGTTTCAAATATTAACGTTATTTTGCTAAGTTAATGAAAATACTAACATCACTAGGTTCAGACTCGCGTTACAGCGCGTGGGAAATAAATATGTATATAATCTTTGACGGATTAGAATATGTTACATTTTAATTTTATTGCAATGAAGTTGATTACGGTGAATCATATATTTGTGTAATAAGTTTAAAGAAAATAATAAACGAAAAAACGAGTAAATAATAGAGAATTTTTGAGAAATACCCCTTTTGGTGTACCCCTTTTTAAAAATACCCCTCTTTTCTACAAAAATACTCTTTTTCAAATATGAAAAATTATAAACTTTTATATGGTTGATAAGGTACATCAAGATCATCATTACTATTGGGAGACTAAATCCAAATATTTAGAAGGTTTTAAAAGGTTCTAAACGATATTTATATGGATTTAGTCACGCAGTAGTAAAGATGATCTTGATGTACCTTATCAACCATATAAAAATTTATAATTTTTCATATTTAAAAAGGGGTATTTTTGAAAATGGATAGAAAAGAGGGGTATTTTTAAAAAGGGGTACACCAAAAGGGGTATTTCTCAAAAATTCTCAATATATATATATATATTTATAAATTTACACATATATAAAGATAATTTGTGTCTATAAATATAAGCTTACACGTATTTTTTTGATAAATTTTAAAATTTATAGTGACTTTTTGATAAAATTAGAAAGAATGATATTTTTAAAAAATGTTATTGGAAAATGAGTATTTTTGAAATTCCCCCATATATATTTCATAAGTACCGTATAAATCTATACTATTAATTGCGAAGGACAATTTGAAGCCAAACACCCCCAATTTTGAAAAAAAAATTCATGAAATATATTCCAATTGCCAAACAAAATTAATGACAGCAAAAAAAAAACAAAAACAAAAACTATCTATATTTATGTAAATCATAATAATCTTTTACCATAAAAAATGGACAATTAAATTCAAAATTAAATATATGTAAACATATCTATTTTGAATATACATAAACATATTTAATATTTTAATATACTTTCGAAATTAATAATTTATATAGAATGAAATCTAATAAAACAAAATCATCATATATCTAAAAAAACAAAGATAACATTTTTTTTTAGAAAAATCAAAAGATAAAAAAATATGTTAGCATATGAAATAATCAACTAATCAAATTCTACATCTTATTATATACATAACTGATCATATCATCAAATTTTAAAAAATTATATAATTTTAAAATATAAATAAAATTTAAATAAATCAATAATTAAATATTTTTTTGCTAAAGTCATGCGAATAAACATTTTAGATCACATAAATTTCTTATTTTCACATTAAAAAATATTCATATTCAAAAAGCAATCTACCAATTATAACACAAAAGATATCTACAAAATCTATCATTAATTCAATTAGTTAATGATTTTTTATTTGGTCAAACAGTTAGTTAATGATTATTTTAAACTTCTTTTTTCTTATTAATTTCACACAATCTTAACAAAATAAATCTTCATCCATGGCAATTTACATATCATTACTATTATCAAATATTAAATAATTGCTTTATCAAATCATAAACTACATTTTGAGATTATAAACATATAGAATTTCTATTAAGATTAAAACTAAATGATTTTAACGACTTATTACCAATTTTTAAATAATAAATGGATTATTTTTTTATGATTTAATCTAATTAAAAACAAATAAAATGTCAAATTGGTATGATATAAATGATATAATAAATAAATATCTACAAACATTATCTCATATATACGTACAATTTTAAACTATCCTTGACAAATATGATATATAAGTTTTGGATAACCGGTTGAAAAAAAAAAAACTGGTAGTTATATTTAACTCTCAAAATCTCAAAATGTTGAACAAAGTTCAACTTTTGGACGTATAAATCTCTACT